ACATATAAGATGACGTAAGAAAACAAGTTATTAATCATGAACAAAATGGAAAAATACAAACAAGGAATGCTACTGAAGTAATAGAATAATAATCCTACGAAAACTATAAAATGCACACAGCACGAGATTCTATCTACTCTATTTTTTGCAGAACCAGTAAATTTCATGTAGAAAATAAAAAATGAAGATTGAAAACGCCTATGGCCATAAGCGAAACGTTTCACATGATACGATAAAAACATCATTATTTACTGAATCCAAAACCCAAGAACTGTATCTCCCCAAAAATCATGGAACGATTCAAGAACTCATCGATGAAAAAGTTTTTGATGTTCTGGTTCCCACGAAAAGAGATTTCCTGTAATTTTCAGAGAACATCCTGAGAACCAAGGCAAAAAAGGTAGGAATTGGTGTTCTTTTTGAATTTCTGGAGGTTATATGCCTCGAGGAACACCCCCCATGGCAATGTGTTACAGTGCCTCGCTTTTCCTTGAATGAACGAGGCTTTGGGAAGAGATGTTCTGCAGGTCTCCAAAGTGACCACGAAGGGGTGCGGAGCCTCAACTCGACGGGTTAATCTCGCGGGGACTGCCAAGGGAGGAACAATTGTTGATATTTCAGAAGAGCATCGTCCATGAAAATATTCATAAAATAGCCAGATCTCCAACTTTTCTAAGACGAATTGCCCCTTTTTGGACAGAATCCAACAGAATCAGGGCATTTTTGGGTGCTGCACTCCAAATATGGGAACAGTTTTCCAGGACAGGTCGGATCTGTGCCTTATAGATCATAATCAGCTGACTGGAAGTGAAATAACTCCTGGCCCGAAACAGAAAACCAAGTTTTTGGGATGCACTTTTAGCAATTGATCTCATGTGATTTTCCCAAGAAAGGTTATTGCTGATAGTAATACCAAGCATCGAAATGGTTGTCTTCAAAGAGAGATCGGCTTTTCTAGAGAAAAGGCTTGCTTGCGTTTTGTTACATTCAACATGACATATACGCTGTCCATAAAGCATTCCTCCCTCGTTGACTTTTGAAGGAGCCATGTTGGAGAAAATTCAAATGAATTTTAATTCAATGATACCTACCTCATGATGATCCCAAACATTTGTTAATTCAATACCGACTGAGATTGTTATATTTTTCACAACTTCGACTACCAAGAGAATGAGGAAGCTGTCAACATGCCACCGACGTAATAAATTCATCAATATACCGAGCATATTATTAAGCGTGACGAGTCACACGCCGCAAAGAAAGTATTTTGGTACCTACTCGAGAATTCAATTAAGAGTTGCAAACTTGCGGGCGTAAAATATAACTCGAGCAAATAGATTTATGACAGTTTATAAGAGCGTATCAATGCCTGCCGAGGACAAATTAGTTTTAAACTTTTTAATCAACTTGTCGCCGAACGGTCGTAGTCGGATTCTACTCGCTTAATCTGCTAAAATGCGATTAGAAACTTGCTTTTTAACGTTATTACAACGCATCTTGGTTCCTCGCTTCAACTTCGATATTGGTGGGCTGGAATCATTGTTTGCTGCAAATTGTGCGCTAGAGCATGCTACTTCAGTTTATGGGGTAATTTCTCGGTGGAAATAACAATATTGAGTATAACGACTTTTTTTGCACCGTTGTAAAGTAAAAAATATCATTTCTCCATATTCCTTCATTTTATAGGAAGTAAAAACAATGCTTCATATTATGCTTCCATGGAAACTTGAAAAGCTATTGAAAAGTTTCCCAAAGCTTACAATACCTTTTTATATCTTCTTCGCAAGACATTGAAGTTATATCTTCTTCATATATAAGACATCCACGATGCGAATTGAAGAATAATCATCATCATCATCAGAATCGACAAGGAAGACTAAATACTGTCTGTAGGTTTATAGAGGAGGTGGTACATTCATTATTCCAAATTTTTTGGGATTTTCTCTCCTAGTTTCTATAAAATAAAAAATAAAAATATGAATATCATTTCAATATACGTGTAGTAAGGACAAATCAGATGATTTGTCCCAAAATGTCACTGCGTTTAAAAAATTTTACTATCAGAGAGCCTAAACGAAAAACCCACTAGCTTGTCAGTGACAATTTGTATTGGAAAAAGTTTGGAGAAGAGAAATAAAGCTTTCAACATGAGAAGAGATTATTTCAATGGCGAAGTCGTATAATATGTCTTGAAGCTTTTCAGTTTTCAATGACAATTGGTGACGTTGAGTTACAGGATGTTTTCATTAATTGATCTTGAATTTACCATTTTCATGTTCAGATTTTAGTAGTGAATACCATGTTCTGTCTATATGTATATCAACTGAACAAGAAGCAATGCTATTGTCTATGCTCAGAAGAATGCAAGCAGATTCGGACAACATATGGCAGAGTGGAATAATATTAAAATCATTGGGAAAGAAGATAACAACCAGAAGAGAAAAATCAAGGAATCTGCTTGCATTCTTCTGAGCAGAGACAGTAGCATACGATATATCAATGAATCATTGGGATAAGAAAGTTGTACTTTCGATCATTGTTCAACAGTGATATAAAGTAAAAGATAGAATATTTCGAATAAAAGAAATCACAGTGTATTTGGGACAAAAAGAGGATCTCACCAAATTTCGCAGAAACAAAATTTGTTTCGTGAAAGATGAAAGAAAATAACAAATAACTTGTTTATTTGAGTTCTTCACATAAATTTTGAGGTTATGTGTGAAAAGTGTACCCACTAGAGTTATAGATCTTTTGATTACCTACAATTTTGCTATCCACTTTTTTTCATATAGGTATAGTATAGTGCTTCTTGTATTGCGAGATATCGAATTTTACCGATTTTCTTCCTTTTTCAATGGGCTTCATAGTATAATTTTTTTCGATCGACCCTGGTGTAATATTGAAAGAGCGAGTTTCAACAACTTTCACACCACGTCCTTCAAAAAGAAGCATCCTAAGACATATTATGTTTGTATGAAGTCTGTTTCATTGAATACGGCATTAAACTGAAGTGATTACTTCACAGTATGGATTCATTTGAATCAATCAATATTTCTGTGGTACGCTAGACTGGTTCAATGAGAAAGTAGAGCAGTAATAATATGCTGAGTGGCTTAAGAAATACATTGTTATAATCTCTTGTAGCCGTGATCGTCTAGTGGTTAGGACCCCACGTTGTGGCCGTGGTAACCCAGGTTCGAATCCTGGTCACGGCAGGAGATAATTTTTTTTAAGGGTGAATCCCGCAGCGCAAAAATTTTGAAAGGGTTTTTTGATTTTTATTTTCCCTCATAAGGAGCTAGGCTTCAGGAGATGAGACTAGTTTGACAGGACTTTAATAAAGGGGCCCACACCGCTCGGAAGACTATTTGCATCAAGTACTATTTTATATAATGATTAGATTAGATTTTAGATTTGGAATGGGGCCTACGGGCTATCTGCCTCCATACTGCGACCTTTTCAGATATATTGTGTCTGCCATCAAAATCGATTAGAGTTCTTAGGCTAGCCCCGCCTTCTCTATGAGACTCCAAAGGCTAGCTTTCAGAACTCCTGTGTATCTCTGGGCTCCTGGTTTTTCCTCACCAAGCGTAGGGAACCTTAGTCTTGACAAGCCCTCACAGTGGCAAAGTATGTGTACTGCTGTTTCTACCTCTTCTTGACAGAACCTGCACAGCAGTTCTTCAGTCAGACCTATCGTACTCATGTGTTTGTTGAGCCTACAATGCCCTGTGAGAAGTCCCACTAGTATTCTAGTTGAACTTCGCCAACCACCTTATCGACATTCACTATGAGAAGGACTCTGTCGTAAGACATAGCTCACTCATGACTATTGGAGAAAGAATTTTGCAATTTTGCCAAAAGAAGGATGTTCGAAACGGTTAATTAATCAATCTAGAATGCACAATCGGAAATATAATAGAGTTTTCTACTGAAACTGAACATTTTTCAACAATATCTCTACAGTTAGTACAATCTTTAGATTGAACTTCTACAATAATTGGGAATAATTCGGCTATAGAGGAAAATTTGGACAGTGTCTCACACGTATTAAGAATTCCATCTTCCCTATCCGTTCTCACTAAATATAACAATCCATTTTTCGTTGGATTTTTCTCAGTGAGTAGGATACATTGAATATATTTGGCTCTTTTGGATACATAATTCATCAATTCTTAAGAAATTTCAATTTCATCATAATAATTGTTGAATACACTGGGAGGTAGATGATTCATCTTCGAATCTGGAAAAAAATCTTCCAAGTAGAAATAACAAGATCACTTACTCTCCACCAGATTCCAAAAGTCGATTGAAATAATAAATAGAATAGTTCAGGTATCTTGTGTACGGCAAGCAGTAGAATATTTGTCCTGCATTGTAGTATAGGAATGAACCATCCTGTTGAGTAAAACATCTTTGCTCCCTGATGGCTACTACTATCCAACCTTTGAGATATAATCATGTATATAATTTTTATATATTATACACGGTCATAATTGATCTACTCTTTTAGTCATATTCGAATATATATTGTCAAAAGTTTCACGATTACTGAATGGTATTTTTGAATGCATCAATTAACAGTAAATTTATATCTTCAAAACTTTCATCAGTTTCCTGAAATTTATTTATTAATGCTGACTGTTAGCTTAGTGAGACGATTGAATTGCCATATTCGTCTCGTGAATCTCGAACCAAAATTCTTATATATATTGTTCCTATGGATTGAAAAATGTTGACACGTTACTAAGCTCAGCTCAATTTACCTCCAAGACATCAACAGCTGCTCGATATAGGTTCATTGATACCAAGATGGAAAACTTAATTGAACCACCCTATACGAACTAACTAGAGAATGGATAGAAAGTTGAAATTCTCAGTGGACCTTCAAAACATGTCCATCCCAATTATTCACTAAATGATGATAAATGAAAGGCATTCGAATATATAGAAACTGGGAAAACATAGGTATCATAGGTATTGTAGGTATTGTGACTAACCTTCTCTCCCCTGGAATCCTTGTAGGTGACCCATTGGTTCAAAGTGGTCCTCCAGTATTCCACCAGGAAGGCCTCAGCATACTCCTGACCCTGGCCATTTCCAAAACGACCTTGGGTCTCTGTCCAAGTCATCAAGTGGTTCTTTTGCAGGTCCACCTCGAGGTACTCTTTGACTTCGCTGCTGATTTGGGCCTTCGGGCACCATGCTCCGCCATTTTTCTCATTTCTTATCCTGGAATGAAAGAATCGGTCAATATTGGTCACCATCGTTTCTCCTTTATTATATGTGCATTATTGGGGAAAAAATGCCTTCGAATTCATCTATAATTTGAATGCAAGAACTTGTTGAATACAATCAAATGTTTTTTTCATATATCAAAACTATAGCTATACCCTGCGCGCGTTGCTACGCAACTAACTAAAATAAATTTGAAGGAACGACCCTACAGGAATATAGAATTGATTTCGAGTCATTTTATTGATTATGGCATACATTACGTTGTTTTGCTACGTAAATAATTTCTAGAAATTATTTTTTCTGTCGACCTCAACAAGAGATCACATTTTACGTTCTAATTTCCGAACAGAAAACCGCAGACACTAACTTTTCGTCCGCTGCAGGGTTGCTAGCTTTACTAAATTTTCAGTAGATCTTTCGATTAGCATATTGATGATGTACTGATCTACTGAAAAATTTCATGATCTACTGAAAAATATTTTCATTTACTTAATGAAAACCTTCAAATAAATACGAAAAGCTCAAAGTCATATCCACACAATGTTCATAAAATGAACAACAATGGTAGATTTCGGGAGAAAAACAACTACTTTCTGGCTAATGCCACGTAGAACATTGAATCACATCCTACCTAAATCTATGCATCGACTCGTATGAACGAATACTGATAAAAGTGAATCTTTCCTAAATGCCTATTCATTTCGATTTAGCCAGGCTACGCTAGACACCTACATACCGGTTTCGAGCTCTTTGACTCTCCAGTGCAGGGCAGTCTCCAGCCAGCAGTCCTGAGACCGCCGAATAAGCGTAGCCTGGTCAAACAAAAATCAAGTCGGCATTATATTCATAGACAATATGAAAGCAACGCCATCTGAGTAGAAACGAAGGAAAGAAACACTCCAAAACTGAAATTCCCATCAGTGGCGTAACTACTATACCACGAAACCCCGCGGTTGCGGGGGGCCCGTTCCTCGGAGGGGGCCCAACCAGAGCAAGGGCTCAGCCAAATTGGTTGATAAATGAATATTTTTCAATTATGAATATGCCACAGAAATATAATAATAATTTTCTGCGAATAGTGCAGGCATGTTTTTTTCAGTGTAGGTCCAGGGAGATGTGTGAAATCAACGATACAAGCCAATTATTTTGAATGAAGAACTTGATTGAAATTAGTGGTGCTTCAAAAAGAAGAAGGAAACAAAAGTTAGAAGATGAGAAGTGTTGAATTTACCACGTTCTTTACGAATACTACCACTGTTTCGGATAATACAGTATTATGATGAATGTCCATCAAGTAGTAGCAGAATGATGATTGAAAGAGGAATGGATGTTGACTCTGCAATTATTATGGAAGGAAAACTATTATTCCAGATTTTTTGGGATTTTCTCTCCTCGTTTCTATAAAATAAAAATTAGAATATTATTTCCATATGTACGTATATTAAGGAATGGATGTTGACTGTGCAATTATTATGGAAGAAAAACTATTATTCCAGATTTTTTGGGATTCTCTCTCCTCGTTTCTATAAAATAAAAATATGAATATTATTTCCATATACGTATATTAAGGACAAATCAGATGATTTGCCCCAAAATGTCACTCTGTTCAAAGAATTTTCCTATCAGAGAGCCTAAAACAAAATTCACTAGCTTGTCAGTGACAATTTGTATTGAAAAATGTTTGGAGAAGAGACATAAAGGTAAATAGAAAAAATATCAAATTTTTACTCAGCAAATGACGAGACTTCTGCTCCCAGACAGCACTGGATATTCCTAGAATATTCTCTGAATATGCTAAAAAGGAGGAATATATTTCGAATATTCATCGATTATTCCTAGAATATATACATGCCTCTGGAACATCTAAAAGGAAAGTGAATAGTCGGATATGTTCAGGGAATATTCAGGTATGAATTTTCCAGGAATATTCCCAATGTAATTGTTGTGTTGTTGTTGTTGTGTTGTTCATTTTATGAACATTTTGTGATCTGAATATGCATGCACCCTAAACTATTCAGGGCATTATCAACATCTTTCAGAAACTGTATAATATATCTCGTCCTACTTCCAAGACTTCATCAAAGGAAATCCTCTCGCGCCATGATTCAAGAAGCTATCTAATTATCGACGAAAAATCACGAGCCTCATATTAATTAATCTCATAACGTTAGGCTGGCAAACTTCAAAGGCCAGAAATTATATCGTGCAGAGCAAGAGTTGTGTGCGAATTTGGAACAAACGGCACAAAACATAACTATGAGCACGAAGGAAATTGCAAAGGGAAGTTTGGAAATAATTCGTCGGTGAAGTATTTAGGAGAATCCTCTGGCTGGAAGGGGGGTTTGCGTTGAGGTTTCGTTACAAAGAAGAGTGATCCCCATGAGGAATGCCCAAGACTATATACGAAAGTTCATCTTGATTGATAGTATTAGTTCAACTCGCTATGTAACTTCCGATCATGAAATTCTCTGACGCGAGTAAACAATCATAAAAGCACACACGTAAATCATTACTTTATACAATGTATCATACTTCAACAGATAGTACATTGTTTCATTATATAGGATCAAATGTGACACTTTGTTTGACAAGCGATATTCTTGCGAGTCAAACAGAGTCACTTTTGCTATTTTTTACGAAATCGAAATAATTGATTTTTAATCAATGAAATATAAGTGAAGTTACCACTATTTTGAGTCACTTGAGCATTTCAGTGTCAAAGCAGCTAACATATCAGCTGTCATACGACACGTTTTTACCTCCTAGGAGTTAAACTTCAACTTTAGCTCCTAGACACTGGAAGTGTTCTCAGCAACATACATACTGATTATTTTATTGTGTCAGTAAGAGAAACTACAACTTCAAGAGCTAATTTTGAAACAAAAATGGACGACTTCTGAGCCGACTGCAGAAAAGATTATATTATTGTTTATACAGGGTGTTCCTCAAAGACATGCTAATACTTGAGGGGGAGATTCGTTGTTTCATTTTCAGAAGAAAACTTCATATGAACGTATGTTCAAAAAGTCTTAACTTTTTAGATACAGGGTGATGGAGTTTTGAAAAATATTCAGTTTCTTGATAATAGCTGAGACAATATTGCATACATTTCCATGGAATTTGGTGCAAGTCTTTTATGCATCAAGGTACATTTTATGATGTACACAAATTTCACGATAAGATACACATTGGGCAAAAAAAGAATCTATGCATATTTCTGACATTGACCAGTATCTCAAAAGTTAGGACGTATACGAGATATGTTCATATGAAGTTAAATTCTCGAAATGAATCGAATAATCGGCTCCTTGAATATTAGCATATCATTGAGGAACATCCTGTATACAATATACAGGGTGGTGTGAATTAGAAAATCTCAATGCGAATATTTCTCAAAATAAGAGTTTTGGAAAAACGCCGTTACTTGAAACACAACTGAAACTTGAAATTACCAGAAAGAGACAAAATACGTATAAATTAAATTTTTACAAACTTCATAGTGGGATAAAAACCTCGATATTGGGAACTACTTCAATTCACTCAATGATACTAATATTTGAGTAAATTTTGTTAATGATTGCCAGGAAATTGAAACTATATCTTGTTCTGTTTCAACCATTCATGTATGGAAGGTATATTTTTAATCAGCTTGTAAGACAAATAAGATAATCATTCACATGATCTATCAAGCACATATACGGCCAGATTTTGAATACTGTTCTCACATAGGGGGTTCAGCGCCCAAAAAATGCGCAGATCCTCTTGTATTCATCCAGAGAAAAGCGATTCGTTTGGTGGGTGATGCCACACTCATTATTTCTTCGACCTTATTAGAACACCGTAGAGAAGTCGGCGACATTACAATTCTCTATAGATACTCCCACGGAAATGTTCCTCAGAAATCTGGGCTCGAATTCCATCACTAGCAATACCAGTGAGAAGAACTCGACAGGCTCAGTCAGCACATCATTTCGTTGTCAATCTTGAAATATGTCGATCAACACTCTACCAAAACTCGTTCATCTCTAGACCGGCAAAGCTTTCGAATTCTTCACTAATGGAATCATTCCCAGAAGATATAACCTTCAAAATTTAAAAAAATCCAATTCCTACCTTCTCTCCCTATGCTCCCCATATAAGTACGCACGTTGTTCCACGAACATTATAGGAAATTCCTTTCGTGTTAAAAAAATGATCCAAAATTTTCATATTTATTGGATAACCAACAATAGGTATTGATATAGATTTATCTGGAATATAATGAATGGTGGGTAACTGATATGAGCTAACGTATAATAGCCATTGTTTATTTTTCATTCTGTCTATTTTCTACATAATTTAGAATGATCGTATTTACTTACTCATCTACCATATAATTGAAAATGTTTATCCACATATATGTTAATTATTTGAACTTTTAGAGTTGTAGTTCTATTTGCTTCGCCAACAATTGTTTGTGCGAACGTTTGTTAAATTAATGAATAATGCGGTTGATACAGGGTTTCTATATAGTGGCAGTTGAAAATGTGCCGCTTTCTGCGTTGTTAACGGGCATCGAAGCAAATGAAATTGTTATAGTTCGATATTCATAAGTGGAAAGCGGAAAATTAATACAATATTTCACTACGATGCTTCGATCATTTATAGAGACCCTGTATATTAGTGTATATAGTTGACAACTTGGTGAATGAGCTGAGGTAGTGGTGATATAATGCATAATACCCACTACAAAAATGACGGTATTTTCTACTTTGGGGAGTAGAAACGCACTAAGACACTATTTATGAATTTTAACATCTTAAGAATTGTTCATTACATAAGGTATTTTCTAGATATAATATTATCAGTGAGAATAATCTATTGAAGGTGCATGATAATATGCAATATGTTCCGACTTCCCTTCTCATTCACATACATACAGGGTGTACGGAGATGAAACCAAAATTCACGAAAAATTTTGTCCAGTCCACTTTGAACAAGTTCCAATACAATTT